TCTTAGCTAACTCCTTAGGAGGAGGACGTTTTTTTATAAACCATTAGATTTTTCTATTAATACGTTCACATTTGACTTTCAAGGAATTGAGGTGACCTTGTACTAGTTTGTTTTCTAATCGAAAATTTAACACTTCCGAGAACTGAGAACTGAGCTTTTAACAACCATCGTGTTTTGGTTTCTCATTTCAGGGCGTCATTCGGCCCTGGGTCAGTTACTTCGACTACATTGTCACGGATGCCCACAAACCACTTTTCTTCGCAGAGGGCACCATCCTCCGTGCAGTTGATCAGGTGCGTAACCTTCCCTCCGATTTTCTTTCTTGGGAACTTCAAAACTAGTCTGCGAACGTTTTTATAAACTCGAAATGCCTTATTTACCCGTTTTCATCTACTTTTGAGGTTATATTTCGACTCTACCGTGGGTGAGGAAAAAAGGTAAGGTTTTCTTGAGAGGCCGCCAGAAAACAGATTTCCCACGGTCAAGTGTCTAACGGAATTCGTGACTAAAGGTTTAATGCTTGATTAATGAACGCTTAATGTGTGGTTAATACGCAGTAAGTGCACAGTAGAAAATAAATTGAAACCGCTTGTAATTGTTTTACTCAGATAAAATAGTTGGTGAAAAGAAAGCCTGTGGACTAAAGAACGATTCGAACAACCCTATTGGCTAACAAAAGAAACATTTAAACCAACAAAACTATTAGAGCAACCCATTTGACCATTAGGTGGCCTATTGGTTAATAAAGGAAGCGTATTTCCAGTAGGCAGCCTCACAAGAAAGCCCTACCAGGAAATGTTCACTCTCTCGTCACCATCGTCATAGCTCAGCTAGAGGTTGCAAATATTTTTTTATACTAGTTAGGTTTTGCCTGTTTAATTCGACCAAACAGCTTTCCTGTTTTGGTTCAATTCTTTTTTGAAATGATCTTCACGTTTTACTTAATGAATATTGTCTTTTAAAGAAAACAGGTCGGTGCTCTATCGGTCTGCATACGGGACCTCTGGAGTATGGACGTGTTTATGCGGGAGGTAAGTAGGCACTATTGTCATAAAGTTTTTTTTTCATCTTGGGCATAAAGTTACTCTATGAAGGATGTTCCTGTGGCCTTTTAATGTAACTCTTCTGCGACACTGACTTAATTATATCAGCCTGATCTCATCCACTAAGGCGTAAATATCAACGATAGTCTCCGCCGCCGTCTTCGTCGTAGTTATTCTTTGTTCTATTTGCAAGCATAAAATCCGTCAAAGACAAGGGAGACTGGGATGGTCATTTCCAGTTAAGAAGCCGTCATCAGGCAGCATTATCCAATCGCAACGTAGGACAAGAAGCCCACGACTCCGTTACCGAACGTTGGACTTAAGAACGTTCGAAGAGCAAGACATGCGCCTGCGAAACTGGGATTGTATAACACTAGCTGACGACGGCTTGAATATCAGAGATGATTACCCCGGCCTCTCTCAGTTTTCTTAATATAACTCCCTCCATTTTTCCCGTGTAATATACAAAGGGGAAGATTCGTCAGACGAACGCCGGACTACATTGGGCTCGGCATTGATTAATCAGATTGCGCGCCCATAACAGATGTCACTCGTGAGAGTATGGTGGCAGGCCTAGCCGGGGCCCAACGCTGCGCCAGTCGCTTTAGTCAAACCCCCTATCAGATGACTGTCCGCCTCAGATAGTGAAATAAAGCTTTGAGAAGGAGGAAATATTGAAGTCGTCTCTGGAGACGGCGTTTGAAGGCACTTAGCTCACATTCCTCATAGTAAACAACTTGGCATGCTTTTACAGTATCACGCCTCACCAACCGCTGTTACTTGGAAAGATGCTAACAGATGGCATA